ACATATATTATTAGTCTTTAAATCTCAGTAGTTGAGGTGGATTAGGCTCATGATGAAGCCACGTACTTTTAAAAACATGTAAAAACAAAATCTCATGCTTTCTTCCCCATGCCCATATAATGCATTTGTAACATTTGATTCAAAAAAGTGTGGTGCTCCTCTACGCTTGTTTTTCAATTTTTGACCGTCAGTTTAAATGAATTGCAAAAAGATAAAAATGTGTGGATAGATACCACCGACTTATGAACAGTATTGTCTGTTTAGTTGTTTGCTTTGCTAGCACCTACCCTACCCTACGCTACCAAAGCCACATCTCATCAATTATTTAACATATTATGTATGCTTGTGACTCCATGAGTAAGCAAAAGCCTTGTCTTCTATTCTATTTGTCCCATGGGTTTACTTACTTCACCATGTGATCTATCTTTGTTTTCTCCTATATTTAATATCACATTATACAATACACTTCTCCTTCTACATATTAAAACCCAAACCCAAACCTTTTTAAATCCAACTATGGTGGGTTGGTTGGATGGTCATGAACTCAGAAAAACTTATATAAAACGAGTTTCTTGTTACTGTTGTTTCTCAATTTAATAATGTAATGTTTTACAAAAAGAAACTTAAAACACGACAATGTAACAAAAATGTTTCATGTAAGTCTCTGCTTGTGAGCTAGAGAAGTCATGGCGTTTCACTAAACAAATCGTGTGTCCTCCATATTTCTTATCACGTAATATTAAGTTAATTATAACACACGAATATATACATCTGGCAACACTCAAAATCCGCCGATTACCAAGTCTAGCTCGTGCACGTGCATATATGCACCGTCACGTTTGAGATAATAATAATAAAGTTTAGGTTGATATTAACTCTACACCATCTTACTTTCTACCGGAAAGGGATCTTTCCGGATTCATTTTGTGAGGAACTTAGGGATTCTTACATTCTAACTGTTTATTGTATATCGTGCAGTCAATTTTGATCAAATACTATTTATGTTTAATTTTAAATAAAAAAATTTAAATGATTTATAATCATACGATACACGATAAATGGCTAAAGATTCCTACAAAATGGATATGGGTGAGATGCAATTCCCTTTCTACCTGTCTTCCACAAATATTAAAGGAGGCAGATTGCCTTCCCTCTTATTTGGGTTGTTTGGGTGCCCTTCTTAAGGGAATGAAATTGACATCTAAACAGGAGGGCAAACAATCTGACTCAAATATTAAATGGGGAAAGAAAGGAGGTTGGATGAAGAAGAAGAAGGCTGAGACAGCGGGCGGGGGCCACCAGTCCTGATCGAATTTTGCGAATTCTTTCCTTCTTTCTGAGACAGGGGTCCACCCCTTTGACTCCCCGCTTGCTTTTTTTAACCCTCCCCCTAACCATCATTTTATTTTTATTTATTTATTTGTAATTTGTAGGCAAACCGACTTAACTTCGTTTTCACTCTTTTGGGTTTCATTTAATATGGTCGTGATTATTGTTGGAATCTGGAAATTCCTAAAAAAATGTATAAAATGTTTTTCATTTTTTAAATAGTAGAAACAATGATTCTCTCTTAGTTAGGTTATGCAAAGCATGTGGTGAATGTTTATTTTTACTTGAATTACAAGTATTTAAAAAAAAATATTATTATTAAGAGAAGGGGAGTTTGAAATTATTACAATAACTTAGAAAAGAGGAAATTTGAACCCGAACACATGGATGGAAACCCAACATTTTATAGGATATTAAACTATATACATCGAATTACAAACATGAAATGTAAACATTTAGAGAAAATGCTAAGAAGATTCTCTCAAGGTGGAACTCTCTATGAACTTTTTGTCATCTCACTTTTTGACGTCAATTCTCATGTCAATATTTGTGAAAAACATGAGTTGAGAAGGAATGCATGAAGAGTTTTACTTTTGAGAGTCTATTTGGCATTCTCAAACATTTATGAAAATGATGTGTGAGCAGTGTGGACTATACTATTTGATACATGCAGTACTAAAGAGCGAGGATACATACACAAAACCTATAATGTGCGAATAAACATCCTTAATTAACTACTTGAGCTATAAATCTTTATCTTCTGTGTGGTAATCCATACTTTAGTCAACACGTTGATAGTAAGCAGGGTGTTGAGACCTTCTTATCAAACTAAACCATCATCATCATTTCATATCTTAAATAAAAATGTAGCACTTTGAAATTAACGTAGAACCAGCTGTCTACTCTAAGTCCAAAAAAGGACGAAAAAGCGGAAAATCAATGATTTATTAAAAATAAAAGAAGAATAATGATGGAAATTAACTTAGAGAGTGGTGGGTCCCCATTTTTTTCATTGGAAATTAATGATTTTTTAGAAGCGTGCAACGGGGCACCATTGACGGCCGTTTGTTTCTGGCCTGCACGTGAGTTGGTCCTGCGCGCTAGATCTCCGTTCCGTTTACGTCGGTGCGAATCGTTCAGCTGTACAAACAGGATCAAATCTCACTTCCGTCGGCAGTCTAATTATTTTTCCCTTACACATTTCTTTTTTTATTTAGTTCTCATTTTTCAATATAGTTTTAAAGTTAAAAAAAGTTTTTTTTATTAGCACCCCACATATTGTTGAATGCACCACATAAAAAATTCAATATTAAATTACTTATTTATTCTACTATGCAATGACAATTTCGACCTTATTAAGTTTTTTTTTTTTTTTAAAAATTCCAAATACACCCCACATCATTTTTAACGTATTATTTATCTTATTCAATTATTAAAACCCTCACACCCTTCATTGTTGAACAAAATTCTAACTAATGAAATTACAAACACATTGATTGAGAAAACCCTAACAAAATGTCTATGAATATGCCAATGCTATTGATCACTCTGACTGCAGGAAATTATTTTCTCTCCAACCATACATTTTATCACTTCCCGACATTTACTATGTCGAAAAACTTCAGAACTTATGCCTTTGAACCAGCTTCGTGAATTGAAATGCCAACAGCTTGAAACTTTCAACAATTCTTTTTTATTTTTTTATGTCTTTTGTTATAGAAAAGTTACATAAGATCTTGAGTTTGGATAATTCTTAAGTTTGGAAGTGACATAAGATTTTTCAATCTGCACAAAGATAAGAAAAAAATTAAGATAAGCGTTAGCGTCCAAATCGGTCAATGATGATATGCTCTCAAGCTAGAAACGAAAAACAAGTCAATCACAGAAGTAATTAGCCTGGGAACAGCAGGGTATCTAGATTCAATCCATCAAAATTAAAAATGAGTATTATAAAATTTGAAGAAATTGGGGTGTATATAGAAATATAATGTGTGTTTTGAGAATGTGGGGTGTGAGGGTATTATGGAGAGGTCTGTGGGGTGTATAAAGAAAATTTTTAATTGAAAAAGTAAATGTGGGGTGTATTAAGTATGTGAGGTTTATTCAACAATTTGTGGGGTGTTAATATAATAAGCCTTAAAAAATTAAAAGGACTTTAATCTGAGAAAACACAGAGTGGTCATGTCAAAATCACAATCACGTAGTGTTACTAATCCTATATAGTTGATATCTTTTTTATTTTATTTTATATAAGTATAAATAGATATTATAATATGAGCGAATCGATAAAATCATGTCACATTGCTTTTGCGGGATACTCCTACCAATTATATCCCTAAAAAGGTTACTACGGAAAGCCTAGGCCTCTACGCACAAACTTTTTCCTGGGTTGTGTTTTTGTGACAGTTGAAAATATAAAAAAGAGATCGCTGCTAGAGCACCTCTCAAAGCAAGAAAGGTCGTGTATTTTGGTCATATCTGGTATCGTGTTAGTGGTATTTGCCGTGAGAACTACCATAATTAGATAATTCTAGCAAAATTTATCTACTCGCGCATATCTTTTCATGAGGGTGCCCACTGAAAGAATAGAAAAGAGATCCTTAGTTTCCCGCGAAAGAATGAGACATCATGTATTTTAGTTCTACTCAACTCATACTGAAAGAATAGGATAGGAACCATTGGGCCACAATTGATTCTCATGTACTTATTCATTCGGCCTCAAATTTCTATGACTGTTCAGCTATTTGGGCCGGCCCATATTTCAATAATTTGATCTCAAGGATGCAAATGTAATTACAACACCCTACCTACCACTTTCCCCATTGCTTTCGCCGGCCGCCCTGTGGGTAGAGGACTCCGCCGTCGTTGTGGCGGTGTCTCATCTCTCATGCAGTGCCTTTTCCACCCTCCCCGTCGAACCTGATCCCGTCGAACCTGATCCGATACCTACCACTTTCTGCTCTCTCTTTTTTATTCTCAGAAGGACAAAAGTTGACCAGACGAATTGTCCCGGGTCAAAAACAGAAACGAACGTGATAAAGAAGAGGATTCTGGGTATCTTCCTGTACCAGAAATCATAATTACCAGAAAAAAAGAACGTTTCTGTCAATTCTGACGAAATAACTAATGATTGAGAAATGTCCCATCACGTTCACATAGTACGTGTCCCATCGACCACGATGCGTCATGCATACAATGCATTCCATATATTCCTCCAATGCTCAGCGAGAAATTTACGTATGATATTATATTATTAGATTGAAAGATATAATAAAGCTTTTTTTTTGTGTTTTATTGAGGTCAGAACTCAGAAGTGAACAATTGTTTGGTTCGTTGTACTTTGACCCCATTGGCTCCATAGCGGAGAGAATAATTAGCTTCTTCCGCACATTTTGTAATATGTAGATATAAAGTATTGTCTTAATTCATTTACCCACGCACGCTTTGTTTTTGTATAAATACGTAGATCAGCCATATCATTCTTCAGAGTGCAGCATTCAAGTATTCAACTGCATTCATACACTCACAAGCTCTAACCTTCTCAATCTCCTTCATTAGATCACTAATCCAAAATGGTAAGTTGGTAACCATTTATTTTGAAGATATTTTATGTGTAGGAGGTTTGTTTTTTTTATAAAAAACGAACGCGTATTGATAGATGTGTCGATAACATGTTGGTAAGTTTTGTTAGGGTCAATAATATTAATGATATATTGGCAATCCGTCCCACAACTAGACTAATTTGTTTTGTGTGATTTATTGTATTTTGATTAGAACATAAATTGCCGTTGATTATGTATAACTGACTGGTTAGAGATGGACGTTAATTGTGGCAGAGTACTGAGGGATCTGACAAGAAATCCATATCAGTTGGGCCGTGGGGAGGTCACAACGGGCTCATTTGGGATGACAGAGTTCACTCAACTGTGAAGCAGCTGGTGATAGCTCATGGAGCTGCCATTGACTCTATCCAGATTGAATATGATGAGAGAGGAAGCTCAGTTTGGTCAGACAAGCATGGTCGAAATGGAGGCTGGAAAACTGACAAGGTTAGTTAATTAGTCCACATTTCTCCCACCCGATCCCACGCAATCCCACACGGTATGACATGCCCTAGTCAGACAGCCCCTAACAAAATTATTCTCCTGCTGCAGGTGAAGCTTGCTTCTCCAGAAGAATTTTTAACTTCAATCGAGGGATATTACGGTAAGAAAAGCGAATGGGGGCCGATCACAGTTCGATCTCTCACTTTCAAGAGCAACAAAAGAACTTATGGACCGTTTGGGGTCGAACAAGGAACCTATTTTTCACTCCAGGAGACAGCTTCGAATATTAAGATTGTTGGGTTCCATGGCATGTCCGGCTGGTATCTTGATTCCATAGGCGCTTACGTAAAGCCTATTGATCAGAATGAACAAAAGCAACACGCGAAAACCCTGCTTCGGACACCTTTCAATTATCCGACTATTGGTACTGATCAGAACCTTGCTGGCTACTCACTAATCCAAAACTGTAATGTGCTTTTTGCTATGACGCCGAAGGACGACTCCACTGCTAAACCAGCTGCAGTACCAGTACCAGTACCCAAAATGCTCTCAGGGCAGTTTTCTGATTCCGAAATAAGTGACGTAGGAACCAAACATGAGCTGGTAAGGAAAATTTCACCTTTTTCGTTACGCTGTTGCCTTTCCGGGTTCAATTTGAAAATATGCCATCTTAACAAGTAGTTGTTCATTTCAGACGACGAATGTTGAGAAGTTTCCCTCAAAAGTTGAAGGGGTGGTAGCATATGGCCCCTTCGGAGGGACGGGTGGTGCTGCATTTGATGATGGGATTTATTCGGGGATTAGACAAATCAAGTTATCAAGAAACATCGGTGTTGTATACATAAAGGTTCAGTATGACCGCAATGGTGAAGCTGTTTGGGAAGGCAGACATGGCGGGACTGGAGGATTTAAAAGTGACAAGGTGAAGAATTATTACTTAATTAAGCTAGTCTTACAAATTGAGTACAACTTACAACTTCACACAATATATTATGCTGATGCTGATCCTATTTGCGTTGTACGTGTATCTGCAGATAGTTTTTGATTACCCGAACGAGATCTTGACGCATATAACAGGAACATTCGCACCTACAATGGTCATGGGGACTAGTGTTATCAAGTCCCTCACTTTCCACACCACGAAGAAGCAGCATGGGCCGTATGGAGAAGAACAAGGAGCCTGTTTCACAACCAAGCTTAAAGAAGGGAAAATCGTCGGAATTCATGGGAGGAGTGGTCTGTTCTTAGATGCTCTTGGGGTCCATGCCATAGAAGGAAAGGTCCATATTGTAGAGACAAAGACACCAACTCTCACAAATACTCCTAATATTCCTTACGGTCACACTGACCACAAAAATAAGACACCAACTGTCACAAATACTCCTAATACTTTCACTGCAATGATCCCAAAGGAGCATGCAGGGGCAATTACTGAGATAGATAATCCTCACTGGACAAATAAACTACTAATGACAAACGGAGGAAAAGTCGAAGAGGTGGTTAAGTTTAATCCGATTCCGTTAGTAGACAATTCGATATTGAGCATGTACTAACTATATTAGTAATTCTTTGTTTGGCCAGGTTGCTTATGGGGTGATAAAAGAACCAGCTCCGTGTGGACCGGGACCTTGGGGCGGAGATGTAGGTAGAGCATGGGATGATGGAGTGTTTTCCGGGATTAGTCAGATTCATTTGACAAGAGAAGCAGAAGGCATTTGCTCAGTGCAGATTGAGTATGATCGAAATGGTCAATTCATTTGGTCTGCTAAGCATGGAGGCAATGGAGGAACTTCCCCACATAGAGTACGAATGCTTTATCAACATCTTCATCAATTTGATTGTTTTTTTTTTTTTTTCGCGATGTCATAAACAACTATAATCTTAGAATCGACGGGAAGGAGATTTGAACTTTGGTGCAAGTGGGCGGACATACTGCCCTGACAGACTCGCTTTCTACTTATCGTTTGCATTTGTATATTTTGCAGATAAAATTGGAGTACCCTCATGAAGTGATCACCTGCATATCTGGATATTATGGTTGCATAAGCAAAGATCAGGGACAGGGACCTAAAATCATAAAGTCGCTGACTTTTTTCACCAGCAGAGGCAAGTATGGTCCGTTTGGAGAACAAGTTGGGACATTCTTCACTTCGACCGCGACGGAGGGCAAGTTGGTGGGATTCCATGGGAGGAGCAGCCTGTATTTGGACGCCATCGGAGTTCACATGCAGCATTGGCTTGGAAGTGATCAGAAAACAAGCCACAAGCCATCCCTCTTCAAGAAGTACTGATCATATGTCTCAAGCAATAATTGGAGTTCATAGAGCACGGAAAATAAAATAGTTTTTGACTCGTGATAACATTTGCTTGTTTTGGGTCATTTGCTTATATGTTTTAGTAGGTCTTGATTTTTATTTTTATTTTTGTTATATTTAAGTGACTCGAACTTTGAACTATTTTAGTCGATTTATGGTTGTGTTATTTGATGGAATTCTGGACTCATCTCATGTCCTCTTAATTAAAAATAAGAATGTGATAAATACATGATGATTATTTTGTTATTATTGACATGTGATATACTCAACTTTTATTATCTGATTAATTGATGTGGTATATTATTTTTTTTAGTTGCTCCTTCCTACTTTGAAAAAATAGCCAACATTGGCAAAATTTTCTATTATTTTGATTTTGTAATGCATTGATATCGTTGCATATGAAGAAAAATTAAGTCAGACTCCATAATGATCTTATTAGTTTAATCTATTAAAAAAAATTCTTTTGATGAAATGATATCACGTCTTCAATTACTTTTTAATTAAAATCTTGTTGACAAATAATATTGATAATTATATATCGAAGTAAAATATCGACAATATCAACGACAATTGCGTCCATGGCTGATAGCCTTATTCATAAAGTTGTTGGACAAGCTATATTTCCACGTGGCGCAATGACAATACTCTAGAGCGAGAAGTATCCATTCCAACGGACACAAAAACTCTGCAATCTCTGCAATCTTCTATCTATCCACGCTTTTCACCTCATCTTCCAGACATGAACTGAAACAAATAACGCCCGAAAAAACCAAGTGCTTCAAGTTTCGAGCTTTCAACAATGGAGAATTTTACAATCCCCTGCAAATCAAGCCCTCCAATACCCATAGTACCCTCCAAATTCAGCAACCCATCTGAATTCTTACCACGACAAACCAAACCCACAATCTCCTTTTCCAGAAAAACCCTTCCGAAATTCACAGACTCTCACTTGAATTACCTCCGCAAGAATGGCGAGTTCACGGAGGCCGTCACCGTTCTTGACTCCATTGCCAAAAGTGGGTCGAAGGTAACTTCCACTACTTACATGAATTTACTTCAATCTTGCATTGACACCAATTCTATTCAACTGGGTCGGAAGATCCATGAGCGTATAGATGTAGTTGAGGAATTGAACCCGTTTGTTGAGACGAAGTTGGTGAGCATGTATGCGAAATGCGGGTTTTTGGATGATGCGCGCAAGGTGTTCTACGCAATGCGTGAGAGAAATTTGTACTCTTGGTCGGCCATGATCGGTGCGTGTCTTAGAGATCAGAGGTGGAAAGAGGTGGTGGAGCTTTTTTACTCGATGATGAGAGATGGGGTTTTGCCGGATTACTTTCTGTTCCCTAAGATATTGCAGGCTTGTGGGAATTGTAGCAATTTCGAGGCCACCAAATTGATACACTCCATTGTGGTTCGGTATAATTTGGCTGGTTGTATTCATGTGAACAATTCGATACTGGCGGTGTACGCAAAGTGTGGAAAATTGAAGTGGGCAAGGAGGTTCTTTGACCAGATGGATGAGAAGGATGGGGTGAGTTGGAATGCGGTTATATCTGGTTACTGTCACAAGGGTGAGACCGAAGAGGCTCGGAGACTGTTTGATGCGATGAGCAAAGAAGGGATTGAACCGGGGTTGGTAACTTGGAATACATTGATTGCTAGTCATAACCAGTTGGGTCATTGTGATCTCGCAATGGAACTGATGAGGAGGATGGAGAGCTGTGGCATAACCCCTGATGTATATACTTGGACTTCTTTGATTTCGGGATTTGCTCAAAACGACAGGAAAAATCAGCCTTTGGATTTGTTCAAGATGATGCTTCTATCAGGGGTACAACCAAATGGGATTACAATCACTAGTGCAATCTCAGCATGCACATCTTTAAAATCACTTAACAAAGGGTTGGAAATCTATTCTATTGCTATAAAGATGGGTTTCATTGATGATGTACTGGTCGGAAATGCACTTGTTGATATGTTTTCAAAATGTGGGGAACTGGAAGCTGCTCAGAAGGTCTTTGTTATGATCCCAGAGAAAGACGTCTATACCTGGAACTCAATGATAGGAGGATATTGCCAAGCTAGATACTGTGGTAAGGCCTATGAACTGCTCATGAAGATGCAGGAATCAGATGTGCATCCCAATGCTGTGACCTGGAATGTGATGATCACAGGATACATGCAGAATGGAGATGCGGATCAAGCAATGGACCTCTTCCAAAGGATGGAAAAAGACGGGAAAGTTAAACGAAATACGGCATCATGGAACTCTCTTATCTCTGGCTACCTGCAACTTGGGGAGAAAAACAAGGCACTTGGGGTATTCAGGCAGATGCAGGCCTACTGTGTTAATCCTAATTCTGTTACCATATTGAGTGTCCTGCCCGCTTGTGCAAATCTAGTTGCCACGAAAAAGGTGAGAGAGATCCACGCTGGTGTATTGCGTAGAAATTTGGAGTCTGAAGTCCCTGTTGTAAATTCCCTGATAGACACCTATGCCAAATCGGGAAACATAGCATATCCAAGAATCATATTTGCTAGAATGCCATCCAAAGATATCATCACTTGGAACTCAGCAATTTCTGGTTGTGTCTTACATGGTCTTTCAGACATTGCACTTGACCTTTTTGATCAGCTGAAGAAGTCGGGGTTTAGACCAAATAGAGGTACCTTTACAAGTATCATATATGCATACAGTCTTGCTGGAATGATAGACGAGGGAAGACAAGCTTTTTACAGCATCAGTGAAAACTACCAAATCATACCAGGTCTAGAACATTATTCAGCTATGGTAGATCTTTTCGGGCGTTCTGGAAGACTTCAAGAAGCAATGCAGTTTATTGAAGATATGCCCATAGAACCAGACTCCTCTATTTGGGCTGCCTTATTTACCGCATGTAGGATTCATGGGAATCTTGCCTTGGCAGTTCGTGCAGGGGAGCATTTAATCGACTTGGAACCAGGAAATATTTTGGTTCAACAGTTACTTCTACAGTCATATTCTTTATGTGGTAAGTCTGAGGTTACTTCAAAATTGAAAAAGTTTGGTAGAGATGCTGCAATAAAGAAATTTATTGGGCAGTGCTGGATTGAGGTAAAGAACTCGGTGCATACGTATGTTGCAGGTGATAGGTCGGAACTATGCTCAAACTTCCTAAATTCATGGTTACAAAACATAGAAGAAAAAGCAAAGAGACATGATTTTGGTAATGAGCTTTGTGTTGAGGAAGAAGAGGGGGGTATCAGCTGGGTCCATAGCGAAAAACTGGCACTTGCTTTTGCCCTCATTGGCTCCTCAAGTGTACCTAAGAGTATTAGGATGGTGAAGAATCTGAGAATGTGTGGGGACTGCCACAGGATGGCGAAGTATATATCTATGGCTTTCGGGTGTGAGATATATTTGAGCGACTCAAAGTCCTTTCACCATTTTAGTAATGGCCGTTGTTCATGTGGTGACTATTGGTAGAGGATCCTCGGGGACAAGCATAAAAGGGGGAAGTTGAAAGATCAGTTTCAGTGAAACAGGTCGTCTTCGAGGTACAACTCCAGTCACAAGCTAACATCATTTTGCCGTTATTGACAAAGTTGAAGAGGGGGTGGTTGATCCTTATGGGATTTGTAACCATGAGGACAGCAGCGCTAGAGTCACATTCAACTCCAATACATTTTCTCGTGCGAAGCATAGGCTTCGATGTACCTCCGTAATTCTACCTCAATAACAGATCCAAATCCATGGCTCAAAGAGAAGCGCCTTCGGCTCCCTTCCATTTTCATTGCGCAGAACTCCACCTGCTCCGGCGTGGCCTTGCTATCCTCTGCAACCACCATATATTTAAGCTTAAACCAACATTTAGGAGGGGGAAGCCAATGAAGGACTTCGATCTGCCTAGAGGATTTTGAAGACAATGTCTTGCGTGGGACCTGATTTCGGGATGGTTTGGGAGTGAGGTGCTTAAAAAAAAAGCACCTATGAAAAAAAGCTGTGAGGGTTTTAGGGGTTTGGTAAACTGAAAAAAAATGGCTTATTTTGGAAGCTCCTGTGAGGAAAAAGCTGAAGCTACTATTTACAGCTTTGGAAAACTGGCTTTTTTTCAAAGCACACGGAGCTACAGTGCTCCTTTAATGAAAAGACCCATTATCAGACTGCTTTTTTTTCCAAAAGCATTTTTACAAAAAAGTTTACCAAACACTCTGCTGATTTATTTCACCGCCGTTTATTCTCACAGCACATCCGCTTATTCTCACAGCAGTTTTTTTTCAAAGCACAACAATACCAAACCAGCCCTTCGACGCATTCCAAATTTCCCTCTTCATTCGTTAATAATAAGAAGAAAAGTCACTAAACATCCTCATTGCATGTAACAGCTCGTTCATTCTTAAAAACCAATCACAGTGTGATGCGTGTCCATAAATTTATGCTCGTATATTGCCCCCGAAAGCAGGGTACGGGCCCTTGTTACCCTCCTATTTCAAGCCCAAATTACTCATTGACAGGTTTGGATCTGTTGTGTTGTACTACTGGCCCAGCTTCTCATGAAGTCCCTTACAAACAACGTAATTACCATCAAGGAACAAACTTGGAGCTTGCAATCAAATTAGGTTCTCTCTCCTTTTTGGGTCAATATTGGAGCTTGGAATCGGTTTTGATATACAAAACCCTCCCAATGTTATGGCATATATGCATTGTTATTCTGCGATCGTCGCTTATCCAATCCAAACCTTCACTTATGAGTGAAGAGTTTTAGGTTCAAATCTCGTCAATGATGAGTTTGATATCTATTTATTTTCCTTCTTTTCTTCACTTATGAGTGAAAAATCTTAGATATGAATCTTGTGAATGGTGAGCTCGATATTAATTTGTTTCCCTTACTTTCTTATGGTATGTATGTCAATAGATTAAAAAAACAAAAAAGATGAAGAACATGGGCTCTTATTAGGGCCACCTACTACAGCCCTAATTATCGGGCACGCTAAGGCAAGTAAAGTGATGGGCTTTTGGGCCATAGGCCAGTTGTCTTAATGGGCCAACTTCTCATAACGTCCGTACAACATGAAGAGGTGCAAACAGTTGAACCCGGTCCAGACGTTCAGATTTCCAAAGTTTGTTATTAGGCACGGTCATGTCGCTATTTAAGCTACTTTGATGAAGAAATGAAGAAATTTTGTTTTCTAATGTAATTTAAAAAATATAATAAATTATTTATTTTAATTTAATCCTACACAATAAAACAGTCACAATCGCGTTGTTGGTGTTTGAAAAAATATGATAGGATTTAGCCTAACATTTCAAGAAAAAGTAGTGTTGCTGTTGAGAAATTCACGTAAAGTTAATTTAGAGAATGGTATATTAGTGACAGTTTCCTGCATGATGTGGCTGTAAATAGGGGCAAAGCTAAAAATAATGTTCATGGATGGCACAATTAATCAATGGTGGGTGCATCTTCTCGTGGAATTCCAAAAAGAGTGCGCGCATCATCAATTTTTTTTTTCAATTTTAAATGAGGCATTTTGTCGAGCACTTGGCCAACCTATACTCATTGTGTGTTGCATACATCCCCATCCTTTGTGCCATTTTAGTTGTTTCTTTAGGGTCAATATTGCTATACTTAACAAATAGATAAATTGTATATGCATAGGGCTGGAAGGTCAAATTTATTAAACTTGCGGGAGGAGGGAATTCTTCTTCGTGTGCTGCCATAATCAACTCTACAACTAAACAATTTTGTGCTATATCCGCCTCCTGATAGTTTTCGATGAGAAGTGAGTGATAGAGTTGACGGTGATGGTGAGTTGCTTCTTATAAGTCGTAGTTTGACGTCTTATCGAGCCACAAAAGACAGCTACTATTTAACTAGGTTCCTAGTTCCTGCTCAGAGAAACTTTTTCCAACCAAAAACGTGTCCCTTCTGGTCTTCACCAAGATTCGCCCCCTGCTGTAAATTACCCAACTCAATGCGATACACGGTTGTAAAGCCAACCTTTAATCAGAACCCGTGCATGCATGTATATAATGTCAAACTGCATCACCGCCCAACGACTAAGGCAATGCAATTGTGAGACTCTCACTAATACAAAATACAAAGAACCAAATTTAAGTATCACCAAATGCTTTTGATTTGCCATTTATAATTAATTAAACATTTCTATAAGTAAGTACTTGAAGTAATTATTTTTCAAAATATATTTTTGTTTTTTTCTTTAGAAAGTTCTTTTATATTATCTTTCTTTAGCAAGTTTTTTTCTTTATCAACCAATTTTTACGTCTCACACAACTCCCTCAATTTCGGATTGTCGGATCCAATAAATTGAAGAAGACCAAAAGACATAATTTAACAAGGTGTGTGAAATAGGTAAAAATGGGTGTGGGATTGCACCACCCAAAATGTATATATATGAGTACACTATTCAACTGCCTTGAACAATAAACTTCCCTTTTAAGTTTTAAACAAAGCCATTAGCTTCTAGCACCCAAAGAAACAAATAATTATAATTAATTAATTATTTAGACACATGGAATTGATATACTGATTAATACAGGTGAGTCTCACATAAAATGGTAATGTTCATATAATTAAAGAATATGTATCAATGAATATGCTGAATTTGTGTGTGTAAGTGACATTATTTTTACTGTATTAATTAACTTCCAACATGAAAGCCCCAAGCGAGAGACCTCCCCAGAATCTAAGAGTGAGCTACATGTGAAAGATAGATGTAAAATGTGGGAATGCAGTACTAATTTGAGTGGTTGTGTGCATGAGCTTATAGCTAATATGAAAGATGAAGTGTCACTTAATTTAGTAGACCTGAGTGAATAATTAGGGTTAGGTATTCGATTCTAAATGGCATAATTAGTAAATTTGCCAATAAATATAAAGAAAAATATAAGATGATGCCAAAGAGGAAGAAATGGATTTACGGAGAATTGGAGATCGATGCGTGGGACCTATGACCTATTTATGTTGTGCAGCGTGGATATGCAACTTGCTGTGGGAAATTCCAGCACAAATATGATGGATGTCAGATGGCAAACTAATAATTAAATTGGATCTGGCAATCTGCTACTATAATCCCCGATCGAATGATGGACACCAAGATTCTGTGCTAGATTTTATTCTTGTAGCTTAGCTTTTGCATGGGGGAATGCAATTAAGCACATTTATGCAAATTGTGACGTCGACATAGCCATACAGTATTACTACTTTCATTTATTAATAATTTTGATGTCGACGGTCACGAAAAAAAAAAAGAAAAAAGAAAAAAAAAATATATATATATGTATGTATATGTATATATATATATATATCAAGCTTTCAGTATCATGACTGAAGGTCGCAGGCTCTCACTGAAATAAATGCATATGAACATTGCTGCAAATTAACAGGCTGCGTCTTCTCTTTGTTGTAAAAATTTAGAATCACTAATTGCATATATATACCTTGTTTCTTTCAGCTATTTGGATGCCCAAATTTGACACAAAATTCTTTAACACATGTGGATCTTATTATTGGATGTGAGTTTTGCATATATTAGAGATTATTTTAGCAAGTGTCAATTTCGTGTGTTCAAATACTATAACACGTACTTTCCAATTTCTTACACATTTTTTATGTGCATTGAGTTACATGCACGACTTTCATTTGATGTGTAAATTTGGGGGTATTATTCGTGATGTTCGATGCCATGCATGCATTGATTCGAAAACCATTTACTTCATTTCTATATATTAATGTGTTTAGTGTAGTTGCATCTTATATATATATGTGTGTGTGTGTGTATGTATATAATCAAAAGGCAAAAAGGGTGCATCCTTCATAAATTTAAATAGGATTTCAAAATAAAACAATTTAATCTAAACTAACAGAATAATATTACCCACTGTAAGACCATCTCCAACTCTTGGGCTAAAAGCCAAATTTTTTAGCCCGAAAAATTTGGTTTTTAGCCAGAAACATCTTTTCTGCTCCAACCCTTATGCCATAAAATTTTAACTCGGAATTATTAAAGAATGAACTTAGGCTAATTTTTTTTTAAATCAATTTTTTTTAAAATAAATAAATATATAGATTATTGTAAATTAATTTTATGAACATTTTAATTTAAAAAAATTTAAATTCCAATAAACATTTGGCATTTAGCCCGGGGAGAAAGCTGGGGGGTATTTGGCCCAGAAATAACATTTGGCATTTAGCCTAAAATTTTAACATGGGTTGGAGAGTGTTTGGGGGGTAATTTGGCTTTTAGCCCAGGTTTGAAGATGGTCGGGGTATTTTTTCCCCTTTATTTCTTTAACTATTTAAAAAAATATTTCAAACAAAAATTATAAATAAAAAATAACATGTAAAAGATTAAATTGCCACATGCTCACGTATATATGAGACAAGAGGCTACTGTATATATAAAGGCATATACTATTATGCATAAAGCCAATAATTCATATGCATGCATGATTCCCTGTTCGATATGCGACTTTAAGC